TTATTCTAAATTTAGAGTTTTGCTGCTTCAGATAGGGATGAAGGGCAAGAGCTGTGCAAATGTCCGCAAATGCAGTCTGCTCTGCTAAGCAATCCTTCAGTTTTTGCCTTAGTTTTTTTTTTTTTTTAATGTAATAATGGCAAAAAGAAAATGGAGTATATATCCTCACTGCAATTTAACTGTGCAGGTGAAATATGGTAGAGTGGGAAAGATTTATAGGTAAAGCCCTGTGAAAAACCACTAAAAATACCCAACTTAAAGTATACTGATTGGTTTTCTCATTATTTTAAAATCATGTGTGTATGTGCACACGCACACACATCAGTGCAGTGCCATGTCAGTCAGAGATCCTTTGGAGCTGGAGTTACAGGTGGTTGTGGGCTGCCTGATGTGGGTGCTAGGGACTGAACTCAGGTCCACTGGAAGAGTAGCAAGTTCTTAACCACTGAGCCATGTCTCCAGCCCTCAGTTTTATTTTTGAAAAATGAATTATCCAGGCTTTAACCCCAGCACGCAGGAGACAGAGGCAGACGATCTCTCTGAGTTCCCAGGCCAGCCTGGGCTACAGTTCCAGCCACCCCCCCCTAAAAATAAGAAAGAAAAATTATCCAGAGGACACTAGAAGATTAAGGGGTTCAGTGACTTCTGATCAAGCTCCCATGACTGTTATTCCAATTCTAGAGACTAGTATTCCAATTCACACCATTTTCCCACCATTCAAGACTTTATCAATTTCCTTTATCTTTTTGTGTATGATAATATATGTATATCTGTACATATTTGTGGGCATGTACATGGCATGGCATGTGTGTGGAGGTCAGGGAATCTCAGGTGTTGGTCCTCACCTTCCACATTGAGATAGTCTCTTGTTCACCACTGTATACATGAGGCTAGCCCACAGGCTTCTGGGATTCTCCACTCTCTGCTTCCTATCTCTCCATAGGAGCGCTGGAATGACATACACATACCGGTGTATGATTTTACAAGGGTTCTGGGGAACCAAACCCAGGTCCTCACACTTGGGAGGCAAGCTGTTTACCCAGTGAGCCATCTCCCAGTCCCCCCAAAAATGTATCATGTATTCTCCATGTGAAGAAATGTATCAAACATCACTGATTAAAATATTGTTGAATCTTCACTATCTCGCTTTTCCCTTGTGCTTACTTCCCAGAGTCAGGTTCAAAGGGTGCAGGTTCATTACCTACTAAGTAATAAGGATAGAAAAAGAAAAATATCAACATTCCCATAACAAAAAACATGTTCAAAGACTTCCCATCTCCGACAGAATTCCATAAAATTAGGTGACAATGCCAAGGAAAAAGAGAGCAGGGCAACTGATTGACTGAAATGCAAAGATTATCCAAACTACCACCTCCCAACCTCTTGTTCTATTGCTGTGACGTTTTAGTTTAGTGTTCATGTGCTGGTACATCAAGAGGTAGCATTGCAGCTCTTCTCTATTCAATATTGTATTCTTCACCTTTTTAGGACAAAAAATTTTTAATTTTTCAAAGATACTTTGCTTCTAATTTACTTTCAGCCAACGAATTCCCTTATGTATTTTTTTTTATATATAAAACTTAGGAACTTAAATGCTCAATATAAAGGATATGCAAAAGTAAAAAATGTTCATCTTTCTGGAACGAGATTAAATTCAAGAAAGTAATGGAGAGATTCTTTCCAGGAAAACAGCTGCAAATGAAGAGCTGAGGCAGCAGTGATTAAAGGAAGGTAAGTACTTTTAACATGGAGAAATTCATAATAGAATAAGCCCCTCCCTCAATGTTGACTGCTATATTTGAAAACACCACTACCTGTCTTCTCCAACTTGCTGTTTTCAGAGGCTATGCTTTTCAACAGTATTAATCGGTCTGTCTACATCTCCTTTTTCCATCCACTGCTCGTTTTCCTCCCTTTGGTTCAGTATTCCTGAAATATTTATCTGGACCACATTTGACAGAAACTGAATCAAACTTAATATTGATGGTTCAGGACAACGGACAGCACCCCCCCCATACTGGGAGGGGTTGGCGTATACTGAGGAAATGACTTTGCGAATGTAGTATACTATTAAGCAAATTATTTTGGTGGCTACAAGTGGATAAAGTACTGCTCACAACAATAAAACTCTGGATCTAACTACAATATTGTTCTGGGGGGAAGGGCACTAACACTGACAACTGGCACAGAGCAGCTGAAGTGTTAACTGAATAAACTGTTCATTCATCTTACTGACAAAGTGGCTCAGTTTACTAAATGGATCTTTCATGTGTATGAGTGTATTGCCTGTATGTTTGCAAGTGCACCCATGTTACAATGCCTGGAGGGGCATGTTTGCAATGCCTGGAGGGGCTAGAAGAGGATGTTGGATCCCCTGGAACTGGAGTTACAAATGGTTGTTAGCTACCATATGGGTGTTGGGAACCAAATCCAGGACCTCTGCAAGAGCAGCTAGTGCTCTTAACCACTGAGGCCATCTTTCCAGTCCCTAAATCAATCTTTTAAAGTGTTCATCCCCAGTCAAAAATTGGAAAGCAAATCTGTGTATTTTATACTGTGCCATCCACATTGTCAATGAAATTACCAAAGACTGGGCCAAAATTGAGAATCGGGTGGAGATTTAGTCACTCACACTGGAGAATGCAAAATTTAAAGTAAAATCAACATGTCATTTTTTTTTTTTTGATGATAAAAATAAAAGTCCTGTCAGGCGTGGTGACACACGTCTTTAATCCCAGCACTTGGGAGGCAGAGGCAGGTGGATCTCTGTGAGTTCAAGGCCAGCCTGGTCTACATAGTGAGTTCCAGGACAGCTGGGGCTACAGGGAAATCCTGTCTCAAAAAGACCAAAAATTAAATAAAAAATAAATTAAAAAAATAAAAACTGCTGGCAACTTGAGGTAGTCCACCAACACTCATTTACACCACTTGGCACCCAGCAATGGACTCACATGGAGACATTAAAACTGACAACCAGACTCTAAACTCATCTTCTAGTTGCCTGGCACATACACCTCAGATTTGTGACAGTGTGATGAGTTCATTCTTTCACTGAGATGACACTGATCGCTCCTGCTTTGACCTCAACTGGATGGTTTCAAGTAGCCATTCAGATGTGCTGCCTTAGACCAGCACTTGCTCTGCTTTCCCCAAGGATCCACGCTGGCAGGAAGAGCATGAAGCACCGCAGACTCTGGGTGCCTTATTCAAAGATGCAGGTGGCAAACAGCAAATTGATTTGAATTCTTAGGAGAGTTTTGTATTCTTGTCTGGAATTCATTCACTCACTACCAGGAGCCTAGAACATGCCAGGCATTGTTACACGTATACAGCAATGATTATATGTATTTGTTAATCTGTTTTCACCCTACTAATATTTTTATACAACTTGGTACAAATAGAAAAAAGTTTTCTCTTATCCAAGTGTAATAGAGATAAACTGAGAGAGGCTGATTACCACTTCACATGCCACTTGTCATGCTGTAGCACACCCTGGGAGGAAAGGGGGCTCCAGATCAGGAAGGAGACTCAAGTGAATTCCCAGAATATGAGTCCAACAGTATATTTACATGTCAAGTCTCAAGTGTCCTTAGGATTAACCAGTTTGTTTTATCCCTGGGTTTTGCCTACATTCTGAAATGACTAAAGTGGAAACCCACTTCAATACCTAGGGGAAATGCTAACACTTCCTTAGAAATCACAAGGGGAGAGCGGGCCCCTTGGTACACCCAGGTCAGGCCTTCCCTGACCTCAGCACACTTCCTAGCTGCTCTGTCAGCCTTGACCAAACAGCTTCTTCCAGGTTCTTACACATCTGCTCAGCTTCCAAGAGTCTCTTTGCAGAAAAAGGAAAACCTCATACAACACAAGCTTCTGGCTCTCCCTCTGGAAATGCTGAATGCTACCGTTACTCCCTGGTACCAAGGCTAACCAAAACATGCCCCCCCATATTAAATTCCACAATGATAGTCTTCCCTTTAAAATTTTGTTTTTAATGTTGTCTCATTTCAAAAATAACTGTGAGATTAATATTGTACTTTTGAGTATGTGACACATATTTTGACTATGTGGAAGAGAACAAGTGACTTCCCATCGGGGTTGAGTCTGATAACTTACAGGAAATCCAGCTCTCCTAACTGGGGCCCCAAGCCAATCATTCCTGATTTAATAAGAAGACGGTCTCCCACATTCATGGATGAAGACATGTTTCTCTTGCAGATAACAGTCCTAAAAGACCCTTTGGACCAGTTAATTAGCAGGGGCAACACTTACCCTATGTAATACTTCAAAACAACAGGACAGTGGTTCAATCAGAAATATATATTAGAATCACCTACAGACTGCTGTGATGAGATTCACTATCTTAAAATCAGATTGAGACTTCTTTGTGACTCTAACCTGAGAAGAATCCAGGAGTATGTATCTCAAAAACTCCCCAAAATGTGATTTAAATACTACTGTTAGAATAAAGCTTATTTTATTCCTGTCTATATAAATGTCTGAGCTTCAGGGCTAGAGATGGCTCAGTAGTTAAGAGCACTGGCTACTCTTGCAGAGGATTCAGGTTTGATTCCCAGCACTCACATGGTGGCTAACAATCAGTTCCCAGGGATCTGATGCCATCTTCTGGCCTCTGTGGGCACTGCACACAACAGGGGTACACTTACATGTATGCAGGCAAAACACTCATAAAAAACACACATAAAAAATAAATTCATTTTTTAAAATTGTAAATATCTGAGCTTCTCAAATCACTGTGCCAAGAGATTGGAATTCAGTGTTTATGTTCCATTCACATCAGAGTTCTTATAAGATACTTAGAATCCAAAATAACCAGTCTTCAGCATAGAAATTCTGTTATTTAATTCCTCATTTGTAAACCCACATGTAGAATAATAACCTACCTCCAAGTCCTGGGTGTTATAGACAGGATCTTGCTCTAACACTAAATGATTTTAAATGTCTAACACACCCATCAATAAGAGGAAGTGAACATTTTCTATTTGAAATGTTAAGGTCAGTTTATTAAGTTCACTGATGAAAGCTATCAGAAGAATATTCTCCTGAAAAATATGTTTTTTTTTCTTAGAAAAAAAGGAAAATCGAAACCCTCTCCACATAGCCACAGATGCTGTGGCATCCAAGCCCCTCTGGAGACAGGGACAGTCCGTTAATCTGAGGAGTCGCTCCCCCGGTCAGCAGGATTGTAGTCCGGATCGTCCTCATCATCCTCCAGCTCCAAGTCATCCATTTCCTGGAACAAGGACTCATCTACCTCCACATTATTTCCAGCTGTAAAGAAAAGAGAGTTTCACCTCACACCCAGGAAGCAAAGAGATGATTCCATGGCAGCAGCGAGACAATGTCTGCATGTATGAGGGATGAGGTATGAAATGCCAAGCTATTAGTGCACGTTTCTATACTCATCAGCAGAGACTGACATTAGAAGGGCTACTTCACTCTCCAAGTTCACAATCTAAAAATCTGGCTATTTAAAAAAGTTTATCAGAATACATTATTTATAATGTAGCATTTATAAGTTGAAGACAATGATGATAATTCTATTGTACAAAGTTGATGATCACTGGTACTGGTCCCAGCTTATCTCTTCTAATGACAGCAAATGTGCACATCATTAAAGCTCAGCTATACTTGTTATTTAATTGACAGATCTAACTTGATCTAAATGCTCATACAGTTCTCTGTACAGACAACAGACACCAAAGGTTCTAGAAGGACTAGCCGGGCTCTGTACTCAGTACTACTACTCTTTGGACTGTCTGAGGTCAATAAAATCTGTATCACTGCACTTCTGAATCACCAAAAATTGCTATCTTCCTTCCCTCTCGGAGACTAGCCTACTGGCATTCAATTCAGTAAGAACTGATTATCCTTATATTTACAGACAAGTCTACCTTTTAGCACTCATTAAAGAAGCTTCTTTTTGCTACAGATGGAGACTATTACAGAGTTCCACAACTAGTCAAACACAGAGAGTAAGTGTTTGAGAGATGCCCAGCCCTAAGTGACACATCTACAATGGAACCTCTACACTTAATGCTCTGGGAACATAGTGGAACAGGAGGCAGAGAGAATGCTAATGCATCTCTCAACTCTTGCCAGTAAAGCTTCCTCATGCATCAGAGGGTGATTAACACAGAAAGCCCCAACTGATCAAAATTTAGAGAATACGAGACTATAGAGTGTGTGTCCCTGGATAGGACTCCTATATTAAACCTCTGCCCCCCAGGACTCAGGGACCACTGGGTGGGGGGGGGACTGTAAAAGACAGGGGTGGTAGATGATCACAAGGAAACAGAGTTTCCCAGGTTTCTGGGAACTTGCTCATATGAACTTACAGCAATGCACAAGAGCCATGCAAACTCAAACCAGATAAAAGCCCAGCATAGAAGTGGGGAAAATAGGTAAGAAGTCCCAACCTTAGCTGAAGAACTATTGGCAGCTGATCACTGCTGGGTGAGAGAGAGTTGGTCTTCTTTAAGGGAGTAACACTAGATAGGTTGAGCAGGCTCCAGTGGATGAACTTACACTGTGGGACATCTGGGGACACAAACTTGATTCAACAGGCCTTAATATATATGACAGAATCATGAACTTCGGTGGGGCTGAATGACAATGTCCCCTACAGGCTCCAAATATTTGGACATTTTTGTCCCCAGCTGGTGGCACTGTTTTGGGAGGTCTCAGAAGGTGTGGCTATGCTAGAGGAAGCACGTCACTGGGGGCGAACTTAGAGCGTTCTTAAACCTTTCAGGATTTCGAGTTGCTCTCTTGTTTCCTGTGCCTGCTTGAAGATGTGAGAGCTTAGTTTCCACTCCTCCTCCAGCCACCTCTGCCACCATGCCTCCCTGCCATGATGGACTGACTCTTGCCTTTTTGGAACCGTAAGTTAAAAAAACTCTTTCTTCATAAATTTCTTTGGTCAGTGTTTCTATCACAGCCACAGAAAATTAACTAATATGGGGGTGGGGGGGTATGGGAGTGTGCAGAAATGGGGTGTCTAAATATGATTAAGATGTAATGTATGAAATGCAGAAAATTTCAATAAAAATATATATTGGAACAAAAAAGAGAGAGTCTACTTTGTGCCTGTGTACAGCCCAGTGATAAATTCAATGTACTAAGTCCAGTCGAAAAATAACTGGCTTTGGAATAATAAAAACTTAAGAGAACAGGTGATGTCTAAAATAACTTCAAGATAAAATATGAATCCACCAAGATGAGTAATTCTGGGTATAAGTAAATAAAAGGTAAAGAGAAAAAGTAAGGCCTTGAACACTTTCAATTGAAAAGATTCTGGAGAAAATGCCTGAAAATGATACAGACAAAGCCAAACTAAGAGGCAGCATGTAGGTCAACCTTTTCTCTATCAAAGGATTTTACGATTAAATATGGCTTTTACCACCTCAAAAGCAACAACTATAGGTAAGATCATCAGAAGGAGAAAGAGAGTCATATAGAAATAACTTACATTGTTACAGTAAGAATTCAGGCAAAAATAAAACCTAATAAGAAAAAGAAACTGCTGGGAGGACATTTCAGAGGCAAATCAACAGGCATCTTTCTGAAAGTTACTGGACTGAAGAGATACCTGGGTGTATCAAAGGAGGAAAAGAGCTGTTGAGAACAAAGTTTCTAAAGCACAAGAGAAAGAGATGAAGCATGGGGGAACTGGAATGCTTCAGCAAAACATAAGAGAACACCCTACTGGATTTGGACTTTGTTTGTGGGAGACAGTCTCATTCTGTAGCCCAGACTGACCTCTCATTATGTAAATCAGACTGGCCTCAAACTTAGGAAATCCTCCTGTTTCGGCCTCCAAGTACTGAGCCACTAACCCTGCGTTTTGTTTTGAAGACTATAAAAATAAAAACCTTGACCTACTTGCTGCAAAGAAGGTAGTAATACTCATTTGAAAAATAAAAAAGATTGAGGGCTGGCAGAGTAGCTCAAGGCTAGAGCACTTACTTTGCAGGCATGAAGCCATGGATTCAATCTCCAGAATCACAAAAAGAGAACAAGACTGAGTGCACAAAGCCAACCTAAGGTTAAGAATGATTTAGCAGTGGGCCCTATCAACATTGCTTAACCTTCTTCAGCACACATCCAGAACAAGTTTGAAAGGCAAGAACCTGGAGGATCCCCAAATGACAAGACAGGCACAGTAGATGTAGAACTCTAAGACAGTGCTACTGTCATGAGAGGGGAGGCTGAGCGTAAGCCAGTTAAAACACAAGAGAGCTGTGAGCTTCATAGGCAGGAACCTGTTCCACACTGTTCTTGGCTGGATGCTCAATGCTTAGGACAGTACAGTAAGTATTTGTGACTGAACAGATAAAAGTCAAATGGAAGACCAAAAAAAGAGGAGGCAGGAGAGGAAAAGCTCAAGGAAGAGTATGCTCCAAAGATAGCAAAAGTGGTAGGAAGTAAGATTTCCAGAAGATGGAATCCTGGGAGTTCCGCATCTTAAGTATCTCCAAATCCACCACAGACCGTGGCCACAGTTCTCACAGATTTGTGTCTCAGTTTGCTAACCAACAGAGGCTAGTGTACTAGAACTGTTTACCGCCACCTTGAGGTGCTTCTATCATCTTAAAACACACACTGCTATAGAATTTAAACATTTAGATTAAAAGTATAAATTAATCAACTATTAGAATACTTCCCACTAAATAAAAATACTTTGCTTTTCATAGATTAATGCATGTATATATGCACTTACATATATGAGGAAGTCTAATATAATCTTACCGTCCTCCAAGAACTGGATATCAGATGTGTCAAGATTATGATCTGTTTCAAACAGCTGCTTCCCTAAAGGAAACAAATGTTTAATTAAAGTGGCATAGTAGTCCTTCATCTTCTCTACAATCACTTTAAAAGGTTAATAACTGAAGAAAACGAATGTGAGAGCCTGTTTTCCTGGGAATTTCAATACATTTATGATCTTGTTCAGTAGCTAAGAGGCCTAGCATATGCATTAATGGTAAAATGGAAAAGTAAAAACCTAGGTTGCGCAGTCTTGGGAAACTATCGGTTTGACTCTATCATTTCTTCAAAGCTTTTGATTTTAATATCCTTTATCTCAGGATGTAATAATTTGTTATATTTATACCAAGGATACACCATAAATAATAAATATAAATTACGTGTGAAGAACTACATATTCTCTCTTTGGCGCCTAAGAACAGTTTTCCTACTGAAGCCTTCCAAACCATTTTTTGCTATAAAGAAATAACACAGGAGGATGTGGGGAAACAGCAATGATTACAGCAGAGGAGGGGGTCGTACCACTTAATTTATTTTTCCCCGCTTGCTCTTCTTCTTTCATCCGTTTCTTTTTGATTTCTAGGAGTTCTGCATCAAATTTGGCCTTCCAACTTAGGAAATTCTCAATTGTAACAGGAGTGCCATGGAACAATTTCTTAGAAAATGAAAGACATAAATCACCACATGAATGAGACAGTAGCTTAACTAATAAAGCCTGATTATACCTTTTAGATAAAAACAAACTACCTAATGAGAAATAGAACAATGTTTAACGTTTGAAATTTTGACATATTTAATCTGATTCTGCCTGGACCAGCTACTTTGTAGACTAGTAGTACTAGTCTACTTGTTTCAACAGCATACCCTGGAAGAGTCAGTGCTCTCATTCTTATTCCAAAAATTAAAAAAGGATAATCTACCATGTACTTCACCAGGGCTGGTTGTTTAGACAGCTGTCAGTTTTAATACATTCTGGCTATACATCAATTTAACACTGTCATTGCTCTTTTATTTCAGAGTCTGAGGCTCTCACTATACCCGGTGACTGTCTAGTTCACTGATGGGGCTCGCTCTTCTCAACTCTACCCGAGCTGGAATGATGTGCACTTACTTGAGTGAGCTTTATCAACACATTTATTACTCACAGTATCTCACCAAACAAAATTTCACTTTAGTATAGAATTTACTTTTCAGCTTCATCTCAATAGTGATTTCCCAAAATGAATTACTAAAATTGCCAGAAAGAAGAAAAACCAACCATCAACTACGCCAACAAACAGATATAACGGTGTCTGAAACATACCTTTTCTGCTTCTTCGGCCTCCTTTTCTTTCTGTTTCTTTTCTTCCTCTCTTCTAGTTTTTATTTGATCTACTATTTCATTCAATTTTTCCTGCACAGCTGTGACTAGAGTAAAGATCATCACCATGCCAAGGTTCTCCTCGGCCTATGTAATAAAAGCAGGTGGTGAGAAATTGTTCCTCAAAAAACTGGAACTAGGCAAACAAACAACATTTCAGCACAACAAGTAAATCCCATATGCTTATAACATGGGATTCAGTTACTCATTCAGTTATACCATATGTCACAGACTTGGATAAACTAACATTTATAAAGTCAGGATGTCTATAATCCCAGCACTCACACTCTTGAGATGGAAGCAAGAGGATCGGGAATTCAAGGCCTGTTTTGGCGATGTTCAAGGTCACCTGGGGCTACAGGAAAGCCTGTCTCTAGACCAAAAAGTGAATAATATCATGTATTAAAAGTCATGTAACTTGCCACACCCAACATAAAGCAAGTGTTTTCTGTTTAGTGATCAAAAGTAGAATTAAAAGAACCTTTCCTACAGTAGCTAGTAACCAATTCTCAGGCAGGTATCATTATTAATATTCTTTTTAAGAGTCCAGAGGTGTGACAATAAACTGAACCGAGGCAACAGTGATCTCCTAATCTACTGTAATAACAAAGAATGTGGGTACTTTTGCAATTTATCTTTACATCTTTGTCTTCACATTTGAAACAGCTCAAAAATCAATTGTAAAAGCCCTCCACCTCCTGAGAAGAAGTTGGTTCACAGGTTATTAAAAAAGCTAATCATCTGAAGATAGGCCCAAACAAAATGAAATACAAGAAATATATGATTTTAAAATATAATAGTCAGGTGCTGGCCATATAGATCAGTTGGTAGAGTATAGGCCTAACATGTACAAGCCCTGGGTTTGATCCCCAGCACAGCATAGACTGGATGTGGTGGCACACACTTGTAATCCTAGTACTTGGAAGGCAGAGGCAGGAGAATCATAAGTTCACTATATATCCTTGGCTAAACAGTGAGTTCAAGGTCAGCCTGTGCTACAAGAAAGCCAGAAGCAGACTAACCACTTCCTTGACAGGGATGGCCTCAACAACATCTGACAGTGCCTCATTCCTGGGTCCTCCTAAGTACTGGGCTTTAAGACTTCCCCTGGAATCCTCCTCAATAGAGCTTGTCTGTGCTGTACCAATGCTAACATCCTAAATTCATGACTAAGCAAAACTTTCTACTGAGTTCCAAATCCATATCGAAACTACTCGTGGTTCAATGACAGTGTCTCCCTGTCACTTCAATACTGAAACCACCATCTTCACAAAACCTACTGTTAGGTTCTCAATCTTGGCAAATTATACCACTAACCCCATTCTGAACATCCTTACTCCAAATAATTTAATCTTTGCTTATTACTTTGTAAAAATATTTTATATTTATACGTGTATGTGGTGTCCTGCAGTACATGCATGGAAGTAAGAAGACAACTTTCAGGAGCTGGTTCTCTCCTTCTATCATGTGAGTCCTGGGAACAGAACTCAGGTCATCCAGATGTCAGGAGGCATCCTTACCCATTGAGCATTTTCGCTGGCCCTACATTTATCTATTCTTAAACATCACTTAAATCTGAGTATTATTTTCCATAGATATGTCAAGAGCCCAGAACACCCCAATCTTCAGCTTGGATACTGTAAGAAACTGCATTTGTTCCACTGACACCAACCTCCTCTGAGCACTCAACTTGTATACACAAAGGCAAAGGGAAAAAGGGAGGGAGGGGAGCAATCTAATTTATAAACTAAGGGTACCATAAAACTGATCTAGCCAGTTTCTTACCAGAACCCCTCAATAGCTTTTCAAACCAATCAAGACCAAGACCATATTAAGTATAGAAGACTGTCTATAGAATGAAATAATTTATTTTTAATGTTTATTTATTTACTTAAATTTTATGTGTGAGTGTTCTGCCTACATGTATATAAGTGCACCTGTGTCATGCAATGCCCACAGAGGCCAAAAGAGGGCTTCAATCCCCTGGAACTGGAGCTAGGAGGGTTGTTAGCCATGTGGGTGTTGGAAACTAAACCCAGGTCCTCTGCAAGAGCAGCCAGTGTTCTTAACTGCTGAGACATCTCTCCAGGCCCAAATGAAGCAATCTAAGTTCAATCAACTCTATGTGACTCACTAGAAGTTCTGGCAAGGAATAAAAATATTAAATCTAAATCTAAATCTCACACACACACACACACACACTTTCATACAGAACATGAATGCCAGTCCCAGTTTATAGTCTTTCCATGAAATATAAAGCAAAAACAAATTGGGACGGGGGCACCATACAGAACCTAGACAACTCAGTAACTCAGAATTCATGCTAGTTGCATGAAACTTTAGTATTTAAAGAAATGACTCCACCATTTCCATCTTATCATTTAGACAAAAATATGTAACATTAGCAAATGTGGGACAACAGCCATCACAATAGCTATGTTGAGATTATAAACCGGTATAGTTACCTGAAGGTCAATTAGCCTGCAGGTATCTATCCTCTGTATTCAGCAATTCTGCTTCTGACTGCTGGAATGGCACACACACCTGCAACTCATTCTTTCCATCTATTCAACAAATACATGAATGTCTCCTTTGTGACTCTAAAGATACACTGGAAGATCTGTGCTATGAACTTACAAATGATGATCGATAAGCATACTGAAAAATTATATATTAAATGAAGAAACAAGAAACAATTGTGTTATTTAAAAGATACAGGTAATTATGTGTTTATAAGATAAAATTTAATGTAGTTATCAAAAGCAATGATTAAGATATATGTGTTTAACTGAAATAGAAAGCTGTCCATACAGATTACAAGAAAAAGATGTCCTAAAATACTGCATAGATTATTTCTCTTGGGATGGAAGAAGGGGTGCATGTAAGTAAAGAAAAAATGATCTGGCAATGTATCATACCAGATAAGATATAATTTAATTATGGCTGGCAGGATTAACTGTAACCATCACTTTCTTCTTTCTGACTTTCTGTATCTTTGGAGTTCTTCATAATATTAATTTCTTATTTTGGTAACTAAAATACTAATTTTGGAGGAAAAGTGTAGGAAACCAGGATGCCAGGCCCTACGGTGAGGTGAGCCTAAAACTTATAGGTCCAGGCTATATTCTCTGCTAAAAGGGAGGGGCACTGAAAACAGTGGCTCTGATAATCCCCGCCTTGCAGAACACTGTTGGGCTGGCAGGAGGAAGCGGCCTGGTCATAAAAGTGCAGGCTCCCTGCTCTGTGGGAAAGCATCTTGGTCAACAACCCTTAGCTCGTCTCCTTGTCCTAAACAAATAATTCAGCTATCTCTGGCTAAGAGATTAGGCCAGGTTAAGGGTTTACTCCTGAGCTAAAAGCTAATAAATTACTGGATGGGCATTGATAACCTTGGGTAAAAGTTTAAGAATCCTTCTGGCACCAACTAACAGACTAAATGTCCTGTTTCTTTGTACCCTAAATCTTTGTATGTGACTGCCATATCCCACGTGACTGCTAGTTCCTTAGGATATATAAAAAACATCTAAATTCTAAAATAAATCGTCCTGTTGGGAAGACACAGGTCCCAGAGTTTGACTCTGTCGCCAATCAGACCCTCTGCCCCGAAGCCAGCAGGTACCCCGCTAAGCAAAGCAAACCTGAGTCCCTACAGAAAAGTATAAATATTCCCTCAATACGTCTTCTTTAGGCTCGTGGTACAAAACTACTTTGAAAGTGAATTTGAGTACAAATGAAATAGTTCTCTCAAAATCAGTAATATTAATGGATGACTGATCAAATACAATTCAGCCATCCTAGATTCTTCTATGTTTTAAAATGAAACATATTAGCTAGAATTAGTGTAATTTTTCACAGGTAGAACAGCAAACAAGGCTCACATCAGCAAAGCTTTCTGACACACGTTCTTTCAGTTCTCATTCTCTAGGCACTCCACTTATTTGCTTCAGATCAGCATTCAGAGGACCATCAGTCCTGACAACAGGAGCCACATCCAAGATGGAAATATTTTCTGAAGATTCTTCTCAAACAAAACTAGTTCTGATTTTAAAAGTAGATAAGGGTTTCACTTACCCCCACTTAAAGAATATATGTAGAGGATGACTCAGTTTCAAATAGAAACACTAAGAAATTTTCTATTATAACATATACTAATGAAATTAGGAAAACACTAACTTAAAGACATATTCTACTGAACTGGAAAATCTAAAAGAAATGGAGGAATTTCTAGATGCATATGATCTAACAAAATTAAACCAAGAGCAAGCAAACAATTTCAGCAGGTCTGTAACAAGCAGTAAGACTGAAGCAGTAGTTAAAACCCTCCCAACTAGGGCCAGGTGTGGTGACACAGGCCTTAGTTCCAGCACTCAGGGGGCAGAGGCAGGTGGATTTGTGAGCTCCACATAGCATGTTCCAGGCCTACATAGCAAGTTCCAGGCTTGCCAAGGATACATAAGACTCTGCCTCAAAAAATAAATTGATTAAATAAATAAATCTCCCAAAAAAAAAAAAAAAAAAAAAAAAAACAACCTCCAGACCCAGATGGATTCAATGATGGATTTTACCAAACCCATGAAGAACACCAATATTTCTAGACCTAACCCATAAAAATGAAAAGGAACATCATCACCCTGATGTCAAAATCAAAGCAACAAAAAAGAAAATTATATACCAATCTCCCTAACAACACAGATGCAAAAATGCTCAATACAAATTGGCTTTATCATAGATCAATAAAATGTTATAAATTATATAAGTGGTTTCAAGGATAGAAATTACATGGTCATCTCGACAGACCAGAAATACCTTTTGACAAACGTCCCTTCACGCTTAAAATCCTTAAGAAATTTGGAATAAAAGGAATGTATCCGAACATAGTAAAGGGTATATATGACAAACCTATAACCAACATTTTATTAAATGGAGAAAAAAAGCATTTTCACTAAAATCAAGAATGAGACAAGGGTGTCTACCACCTCCACTCTTATTCAATACAGTACTAGAAGTCCTAGCTAGACCAGTAAGTCAAAAGAAGCAAATAAGAGAGACATAAAAAAGACCTCTATTTGTAGATGACATAATACTATACAGTAGGGTCACCAAAGACACCAGGAAACTCTTAAAACTGACAAACAGTTTCAGAAAAGTGGAGTAAAATTAACATTCCCAAATCAGTAGCCTTCCTATATATAATGGCCAACATACTAAGAAATCAGGGAAACCCATTCACAATAGCCTTAAAAGAAATAAAATACCTTGGAATAAACCCTAACCAAAGATGTGAAAGACCTCTACAAGGACAATTTTAATACACTGTGGACTATCTGCAGAGATCAGAAATCCAGAAAGATCCATGAGGGGGCAGGGGAAGCAGCTGTAAATGGGGGAGAGGACTGCAGAACATGTGATATGAAAGAAGGGGAAGGAATGCTGGAAGTTGAAGTGGGGACAGAGGTTGGGGGAACAAGAAGGTTCCAAAACTAAAGGTGTGTGAATGAGCCTTATGGGAACCCAAACGCTGCTTCCAGAAGCCATGGGTTATTAAATAAAACTCTCAGTGCCAGGCATAGAATACCTCCTTATAAACTGTTGGTCAGGGAGGCCCCAGGAGCCCCACCAAACCACACAGGTTGTCACTGCTCTTGGTCGTCCAGTAGAACTAGATAGTAAGACCCTCTTGCTAAGATACCATGTTTGGTTGCGGAACATAGAGAAATCTCAAACTGACCAGGAAACATACTCCCAGTTGGGTAGCTTTCACAGTGCTTTAAAAGGTGCCATGCAGGCCACTGGTAAGATATCAATGGTCTTACTCAGCACTGGACCCTGGGCATGCTATAACAGCAACCTGCCAGGCAAGTTGTATCCACTGGTCCATGAAGGTTATGGGGGTAACCATTTTCTGACTGAATTTGAGGCCTGCTCCACAGGTGGGAATTTATGCCTAGTACTATAAATTTGGTCAAAAACTCATGACTGGGAAGGTCACAGGTCCTGGGGAGAACCTGTTGTTGTTTTGCTAAATGGTTAGGATGTCAAAGTACCTTCTAAATATGTTTATATTCATAAATTTATGTTGCTTTCAACTTGGTTAGAGAAGCTTCTTTTTCCAGTGAGCAGCAGTTTGTAGAGACTCATAACTACCAGTCAAAATGCTGAGAATAAGTAACTATTGAGTGGTTGTCCCTAAATGGAACATTTGTATCAACTTCCTCCCCTGTCCAAAGCTCAAGGAACACGATGGAAGAGAGAGCAGAAAAAAATGTAAGAGCCAGAGGATGGGGAGGAGTGCTGTGAGGTGCTAACAATAGTTGTGGACTCCCACACAAGATCAAGCCTGTCCAAATTCAAGCACGGATTGGGGAGGGGCTCACAACACCCCACCTCTAACTGAGGAGTTATTGGCAGTTACAGCTTCAGAGGAAGGGAGTCATTTTTCATTGGGGTGTGGCCACAGATAGGTTGGAGATGCTCCAATGGATGCACACATGGACAACACTAACTGTAATCAGTGGGCGATAGCCACTTTTGAAAGAGATGTATCTTTGCTCTGGAAACTGTTACTGAGTATGTTAAAGCTGTAATGAAATGTTTCTTCTAAAATTTAAAAAAAAAAGGCAGGGGACAGGACAAGAAGGTGAGAGGGATGTGTTGGGAGCTGGGGGAGAATTGTAGGGGGCAGTGGAGAATTGATACAACCAAATACATTATATGCATTCATGAAATTCTCAGAGAATAAAAAATATATTTTTAAAAAGATGTTTTGTGACTATGTATCGTGAATCCTGCTTCATCAACATAATGCTTACACATTTAAAAACATTTTCTAACCCAACATTTAATAATAGGCCAATAAAATATGTTAATATAAAGCAAAACTGACATTTTCTTACCTGTAAAGCAAGTAATTTTAAAATGGCTGAGACATCATTATCTTCTAGATTTTCTTGGGAGAATATTTCATAAAGGGGAGCTTCATCTGGGTATTTTTCACTATATGTAAACTTGAGGGTAGTCTGGACAGCTAAGGCACAAGATAAAAGTTTAATGTGAACACATTAAAAGAACAGAAACGAGTATTTCTGTTGAATCAGTAGTTTATAACATGACAATAAAAAGTAGAAAACAGGAACATTAATGCCAACAACATCTTCCACAAAGAGATGTGGAACAAATTTTGAGAATTCAAAGTCACTTCTTGCACATGAAACACATTTACTATGTAGTGGCACTTTAGTACACTGTATTTCAGAGGGGGATAGACAAAAGCCATTCTTTCTTACATCCTCCTAAACAAACAAACAAACAAATACAACAATCAAAGAAAGTATTGCCATAGTCTCATGCTCAGCCCTGAGCAGAGGCTGTTCCTGACTACAGAGGACAGAGCTTTAGCCCTAGGAACTATATTCAAATATGTACAATGCAGCAGGATGCTCCTAACTGGTGGCTAGGTGACATGCTTTCAAACTGGGCAGCCTGAAAGCTATCTGAGAATATTTTAGTTGGAGTCATCTATACATATATTCTTTATTAAAATATTTATATTGTTTTTATTTTATGTGTACAAGTATATTGCCTGCATGTATGTAAGTGTAGTGCCCAGAGGCCAGAAAAGGGCATTGGATCCCCTGGAACTGGAGTTATGGATGGTGGTTAGCAGTCATGTGGGTGTTGGGAATCGAACTCAGGTCCTCTGCAAAAGTAGTCAGTACTCTTAACCACGGAGCCAGCTCTCCAGTTCTGATTTTTAAAATTCTTAAAAGTTTCTTTTTAGGCAGGGTCTCACTGTGTGGCCCAGGCTGGCCTGGACCTCTTTATCCTCTTGGGTCAGTCTCCTGAGTGTTCAGATTTCAAGGTGTACCACCACCAGAGATTCATAAAATTCTTTATTAACATCTAACATGAAATTTAAAGCACAGTATGAAACCTGAAGGCATTACGGTTTCTTCCCCTTACCTTCCCCATCTAATAGAGACCAACATGGACTTGAGTTACTTCATTAAAATCAGTAGGTTTGGGGGCTGGAAAGATGGCTCAGCTTGTAAAGGTACTTGCCACCAAGTCTGACACCTGGCTTTGATCCCTGGAACTTGTGGAGGAAGAAGAGAATTGATTTCCTCAAGTTCTCTCATCTCCACACATGTGCTATAGTAAATAAACACATTTTAGGATATGTGCACGGGGGTAGGAGAAAGATGAACTCTGCATACAGGACTATTGTGGATAATAGTTCTAATTACAAAGGCTCTGTACTGTTTCTACTTTCAGACTGCCTGGTGGACTGGAGCACTCATATGTTGGACTGGAGAAGCTACCTTATACTTTAGTGTGTCCATAAGAACTACACTCTTACAAGTCACATTTATAAATTAGCACAAACCAAAAAGTTAAGAATATATGTATGGGGCTGGAGAGATGGCTCAGGGGTTAAAAGCACTGGCTGCTCTTGCAGAGGACCTGGGTTTGATTCCCAGCACCCACGTGGCTGCTAACCACTGTCGGTGACTCCAGTTCCAAGGGAATGTGATGCCCTCTTCTGGGTTATACAGAGTCCCATATATAGTAGGCAACTTCTCTACCCCGTGCTACTGCCCTAGCCCAGTAATGATGAATTATAAATCATTAACTGCTAAGAAGTCAATATCACAAAAAATAAATTTAACATATAAAACTCACCAAAGTTGGCATATTGGTTTTTACCTCTAAGTTTTAGACTTCTATGTTCATTATCCTGAGAATATTTTCTAAAGACACTGTAAATAATTGCAAACTGGATTTTACTCGGCAGATATTAAACTTGATCATTTTTAAAGAGTAAGCATTTCTATTGTTATTGTGTTTATTAGTTTCACTGTATAGCCCAGGCTGACCTTGAACCCAAAACTCTCCTGTCTCAGCTTCCTAAATGCTGAGACTACAAATATGAGCCACACCTAGTTAACAGAATTGAGTTTTCAGACGTTCATTAAAGAAAATTAATTATAGATATGATGCTACGCATGATTCAGTCATTTCATACTTATCAAAATCGCACTGTATCACATCTGTAATTATTTATCAATTTAAAATAAGACTGAAGGAGATGGCTCGGTGTGCAAAGCACTTGTCACACAAGTGGGAGGACCTGAGTGGGAATGCCCAAATTTCACACAAAAGTCAGGTGCAGTAGGACACATGGAATCCCAGTGTTCCTATGGCGAGATGGGAGGCGGAGACAGGATTCCCAGAAGCTCAGGAGTCAGCAAAGGGAATGACTAACACCTGAGACTGTCCTCTCACTGCCACAAGTAGCAAGCATGCACTCGCACTCACAAATGTGCGTGCACGCACACACACATACAGAGTATAATCATACACACAAAATAAAAACAAAAAAGAAAATAAGACTGAAGAAACCAAATAAAGATCTATCTATCTATCTCTACAATCTCAAACAGGAGCATCTTTCCAATTCCTTAAATATTAAAAATAAGCAGATGTCCATAAGTATGCCATCACTTCTTGATTAAAACAGAACCAATGATTATTATAATATATACAACATCCTATACAATTTGTCACAATACTTTCCTTACAATAACATCCTGTAAGCAGAAACTCAAAGACAAATTTTTAAATCTCCTGTTTCATAATCAGTGGCTCTCCTGTATGGATGTATACTCACAACTGCATATTTCTCTCTTCACCAATACTGAAAATTTCCTGGATAGGATGGGGTAACATCTTCATTTCAGTTTCCCTTAATTACTAGTGAGACTAGTTTTTAAATGATCATTTATAATCCCATGTCTAGAAATGTTATCAATTCCCTTTGCCTGCTCCTTTTTCTACTCAGTCATTAAAATGGAATTTAGACACAAAAATGGTACAACCTAGGCAGTTTCAAACATACTTAAAAAACATTTCTCAAATTAAGTCAACTGTATAGAACTATTATTACAGGACTGTTACAGGTGCCTACTAGAGGTATTATTCCAATGGGAATCATCTCCAGAAATTTTTTAATTCTATTTTTCACTGCAGTACAAAATCAAAGAAAATTAAATTCTGTCCTATCAGCAAGCACTTCCCTGTCATTCTTTATGTAATCACACACATACGTGATAAGAAACATCTCAGGAAGTTAGTGCAGCATCTATTTTGTACTTTGATGCACTATTGAAGAAATTTTAGATACCTATCTATATAAGCACAGATAGAGTAACTGTATCTAACATTCTTTTCATACAGATTTCAAAATAGCTCAGTGTTAACTTCATTCAATTACATAAGATATATAACAGTATACCACTATATCAAGCAATACCACTACTGAAATTACCGTTATTAAAATACTACTACTAATACTAAAATTGATTGACTCTAACAGCTTCATTCTAGTAGAATCTGTGCTGCCACCCAATGTGGAAAAAATTCCTGAGATTAATGTCAATCTATACGTAGTTTTTAAAAATGAATACATGGTGGCACACGCCTTTAGTCCCAGCACTCCGGAGGCAGAGGCAGAGGCAGGCAGATCTCTGTGTGTTCAAAGCCAGCTGGGACTACAGGGAGACCCTGTTTCAAAAAGACCAAAAAAAAAAA